GATTTTAAACAGTCCAAACAAAACGCATGTCCACAAATAACCTATTCACATTATTAATGCAATCAAACAAATGGCAAACACTAAGTGGACTAATTGCAAAATACACAAAACTCATTAGTCATAGACCCTATGAAGTGTGTAATAATTTATTTACCTGTTCATTGTGGATTTTTAAAATTTCAAATGGAAGACAGTTTTTGATGCCTTCTGTCTGAATAAGGTCATCAGTCGAGGAAGATGGCGGTCAAGCTCAGCATAGAATGTGTTGGAGAGGTTCTGATTCGTAATCCGCTGGAACTCTGCATACAACTACATTGAAATAACAGTAGGATGAGAATACAGCAACACTTATACAAAAACTGTAACATTTGAAGACTCTAGCACACATTCATAAAGCAGAAAATAGGGGCCAAATGAGTTAGAATCACAATAATTTTCACTTAAGAGAGCTGATCCATATTACCTCATTCTCTATTTTGAGAGCAGGCCAGAGCTTCATGAGCTCGTTCACTGGTGGGCAGGACATCACTATAGTCTGTCGGCGTAGGGGAAATGTGGTCTCCATCATCTTTCTAATCAGGGGCAGGCTCTTCTCAGTCTTCGTGACTTCTTCAACAATTGTCTGCCTCAACTGCTCAAGGATTGAAGGATCCTTTCCTTGGGGAAAGTTGGGTAGGAAGTTGACTTCGGCTCGCTTGGGTCTTTTAATGTTGGAATGTGAAGATTCATTTTCAGGATTACTTCTACTTCTTTTTCCAGCATTAACAGTGACCTCCTGACATCCAGCCGTCTCATCTTGTTGCAGCCTATAGTGTCTAAATAACTGTATTCTGGAGGTGAAAGAAGCTGCGCACAACTTACACTTCCAGATCATTTTGGAACCGGCAACCTAAAAGGCAAAGAAAAGAAATGACAAAGTTCAGACCACCATCTAAAAATTTAAAAACGGAATTGCTTATACTTAATATAATAACAAGTTAGTTACTAGTAGCTTACCAAAACATGATCAATGACTACAGCTAACACTGCCTTAAAATGACATGTTTTCAATTAGTTTTATACAACGTTTATAGATGGAAAGTTCCAGCTTTACACAAAAATGAATGAACAGAATGACTTGCAAAAAATTAATAGAAATGCCACAGAACTGCGAGTCACGACAAGCTTGATGCAGAAACACCTGGCGCTGCTCCTGGACCAGCCGAGAAGCACGGGAGGCCGTTTTTTTTAACTAGCTAGCTAGATTGTTTGACTGAAAAGCGGTTTCAAGCACGCACCGTTAACTTATGTTAGCTAGCGTAGGTTCGTTAGCCGCCCTTCTCAGTTGAACAAGCTAGCTAGCTAGTGGAATACTATCCCCGTGCTCCTCGGCTGGTCCGAGATGCACAGTCAAGTAACGTTAGTTAGCGTAGTATGTTCGTTAGCTAGAGTGCGTTAGCACGTACGTTAGCGCACACGTTTGCGAGTTCAAACCAGCAACCGCTGAAGTAGAGACACACACAGGCAGAGAAGACTAAGTCCCAGTGAATGGAGCAGAAGTAACTAACGTTAGTAATGTCACTCGTACGACAAAGTCTGGAAAATTATTTAAATTAAATTGTTTTACGTTTGAGGATTGGCAACTGGCTGATTGTAACATAATTTAACTTCACGCATTACATATATCAACTTATATATATAAACACCTATGATTTCACTCACCTTGAAAACAGTCTGAGCCGATGATGCTACCGAAGCCTGGTCCGAAAAGGCTCAAGGACGGAAAGGAAGTCAACTTCGCCCGCCAACCCCATAATGCACTTTGATAACGGTCGCGACTACTTCCTTAATCAATTTGACTTAAAATACACTAGCGTGTTAATTCAATTGAATTAATTTTCAGATTAGCGTTTTATTTGTCGTAGATATGTTACTAACTAGTAATGTTGTGTTATCATGACAACTTGAATACTTTGTTATACTGACAGAATAATATCCTAAAATAACAAACAAGTAAAAGCACATTTTACAGCGTGCTCACTGCTCAGAATTTAAAACGAGCTTCCCTAGAGAGAACATGGACTAGTGTAGGAAGTCAGTTTGAGCTTTAAAATGATCCCTGCAAGCAAAATGAATATATAGGCTACATTAAACTGATGACAATAAAAATGAATACATTTTGTCTTCCATTAATGTCTAATGCATTTCAGCATTTGCCCCAATCAAATTGTTACTGTTTTAATAAGCTATGATTGAAATGTATTTTTTAATGATCGATGTTACTTATTTGGTGAAGCACTTTGTGAGATTTGATTGTATTTTAGCATGTGCTATATAAATTAGGTTTTTTTTTAAATCATCCCTATTTGAATAAATAGAAATAACAGGACTTTATCATTCTTAGTATGACATTTCTTAATTCTATTAAGTTGTACTTAAGTTATATTTTTAAGTTATTGTTAAATAGTTCCATTAAATCAAAAAGTATTAGTTAAAATTACTCAAAAAAGAAGAACATGTTACACCAACATGACATAATTAAGTTAGTAGAACTTTTTCAAAAATGTGAGTATACACTACTTAATCTATTTAATTACTTTGGACGTTCAGGTTTACAGTGCAGGATTCTGACACTCACTCGATCTGACTGACAACTTCAGCCGTAGTCCTCTTCAGAAGAGCCTGGACGCTCCTGATCAAGTCCACTTCCTACAAAACAAAGAGTCACACTTCTGGTTAGTGTGCGTTAGTGAGCCCTCTGCTGGTTATTCTAACGTTTGACAGGGGGGCTTTGCTGTGGAGAAGTGGAACAGAGGTGTTTGACACAAATTACTGAAAGCGCACAGATGAATTATGTTTTTTACAGAGCAGCATCTAATAGTTATTGTCATTATTGATAACAGGTAATCTTCTTGATTGATTAAATAAATGCACTTTGCGGTCAGACATGTATGTTGTCATAGTTAGCATGGTGATATTATCCAATGACTTGTTTTGTATATATTTAATGTCTTGTGATTAAGACACAAAAAGATGAGTTTGCATTTTTTGAATGAAAATAGAATTAATACAGATTATGATTCAAATTCTCTTGACCGTACTGGTCCAGCTGTATTATTTTGATTTAAGAAAAAGCGGGGCCTCATTATGTATATTTATAAGTATAAATGTGTTCATTCCCAAAAGCATGCCACTAATACATATCAATGAATCAATTACTACATGCAAATTCACCTTCAGCAGCTCCTCCTCCACAGCGTCTCGGACCAGGTCCGGTCCCGGTCTCCTGGCCCTGCATTTGAGGTTGTCTGTGGCGATGGCGTATGAAATCTCGGTGGCGTACAGCGCCTTCTCCAGCCTCGTCTTCTGCGCCGACAGTGACTCCGTGTCGGCCAGCAGCTGGTGAATGTGCTGTTGCAGCTCTGATTTCCAGTCGTGGGTCTCTTGCAGTCTCTCCCCCAGAAGACGTGTCCCCTCAGCCTGGGTCTGCAAAGTGGCCGCCTCAGTGTCCTGGTACAGAGCTTTGGACTCCCGCTGGATGCTGCCGGCTTCGCGGCGGTTGGTGGCGGCCTGTTGAAGGATGCTGTGGTAGTTGGAGAACCACTCCGCTGGGGAGTATTTAGCTGAGCGGTAGCCGGCTGTGGCAGAGCCTGAGGATGGCAGAGGGTTCATTATGAGACAATTAAGCGAGGAAAAGCCACAACGTAACACTTATTTCCAGAATGAAGTCTTCACAATCCTGAAGCAGACAGAACTTGAACTGTATGTTTGCTTGCTGTTGCCTGGTTACGCGTGTTTGCAGGAGCGGCTCGAGCAGCAGCTCTGTCTCACGTGACTGAGCGTCTGATGATGAGCCAACCTGTTATTAGTTGGAATGCATTAAGATGCATTCCAAGTATTGTTCTTCGAATCTTTATTAAACTTATTCTATTTCTTCCGTGGCACCTTTCAACTGCTTCCCATTTTCAGCTATTTAAACCGTTCAAATTTTAAAATATTCAGCTTCTTTCTGGCTTGAGGGCTATGTATGTTCAGCTTTCTACCTCTTAAGCTTGAATTTATATAAATCAATAATCGTTAATATTTTAACATGGTTTTCAAATGGAGTTTGCTTTTCAAATCGTCTTCAACTTCTTCAACTTTCAGATTTTTCAGCTTCGCGAATCTTTCAGCTACAGACACCATTTCAACTCTCAAATGTTCACACAAGTCTCAACTATTTTATGAAAAAAACTGCTTCTTGATATCTATTGTACTTTTTTCATAATCACTGATTATGTTTCACTAGTTTTTCGCTCCGTTTCTGACTTTTACATGAGTGTGTATTGCGTCTGCTAGAGTGGAGAGCTCGATGGCTAGAGTGTGAAGCAGCGCAGAAATCTGGTTAAAAAAGTATGGAACTTCTGTCCTTGCAGCCAAAGTATACACTCTAGAGGCTTCATTTCTTCAGATTAATGAGGGTATGGTTGTGCTGATTGGATTAATGTGTTCATGGAATCCCAGAGTTTTTTAGTTTTGGCGCAAGGAGTGTTTGAGTGACACAACCTCTGCCAAAAGCCCCATAGGCTCCAATACAAATCTGCCGACATATTTCTCACAAAAATCCACAAGGTACACGTTCTGTCAACGGCCATAGGAGCCGTATTTATTACCGGACAGACATAAAAAGCACATCCACGCGTTCGGTAGAGTCTTGGGTCTCATACAAACGCCGTATTTTTTAGATAGCTGTTATAGTTTTGCGCTGGTTCCCATTTGTTTGAGGTGTGGATTCTGTGTAACTCGCTGTCCTGTGTCTGCACTTTTGCAGCAGCTCGTTAATGATCACAGGTGCGCCGTTGTCGTGGTTACTCGCTCACACGCTGCAGGATCTGTCTGTGACTCACAGCTGCTCCTATGACCTGATTAGTGGAGTCACATGACGCAGCTATGCTTTCTGTCAACAGACCAATATGATAAAGACACTCGCCCCCCCTCCCCCCTCCACCCTGACCTCTACTTACTGTTAATCACTCTCAGTCAGTCAGTCAGTCAGTCTAATTCTCCTCCCCTCTCCCTCTCTTCCTCACCACCATTCCCTTCCTCACCCTCTCACCCTCCCTCCCTCTATCTACACCCCCCCACCCCACCCAATCCAATAGGTGCGCCGTTGCCGTGGTTACTCGTAAACACGCTGCAGTATCTCTGTGTGTGGCTCACAGCTGCTTATATGACCTGATTAGTGGAGTCACATGACGCAGCTATGCTTTCTGTCAACAGACCAATATGATAAAGACACTCGCCCCCCCTCCCCCCTCCACCCTGACCTCTTCTCACTGTTAATCACTCTCAGTCAGTATGTCTGTCTATTTCTCCTCTCTCTCTCTCTCCCTCTATCTCTTCCTCACCACCCCTCCCTTCCTCACCCTCTCACCCTCCCTCCCTCTATCTACACCCCCCCACCCCACCCAATCCAATAATTTCAAAATAAAAGCCCCATGGAGGGAATTTTTACTGTAATGTTAGTGATGAGGCCTATTAATTAAAAACTTCTTAGTTTGAAAAACAAACATTCTGTCTCCCACCCCCCCCCCTCACCCAATTCCATCATTACAAACTAAAAGCCTCAATGATTATCTGTACCTTAACCATGAAGCGGTTTTGTTGAAATACGCATTGCTCTTTCAAATACTACTATAACCACTAGGAATATTAGATAGTACTTCTAGTAGAACTACAACTGATACTTCTACTACCATACTACTAGTATTTCTACTGCTATTAATACAACTACTACTAATGTTATTAAAATTACTACTATGGCTAATAGTATCAGTATTCCAGCTGTTTCTACTGCTATTGATACTAAACCGACTTCTACTGCTAGTACTAATACCCAAATTACAACTAGAAATACTACAAACAATTTTAAACCTCTTTTTATTCATCTCTGCTTTTGTTATTTCTGTACTTTTTAAAATTCATTTAAGCTCCTGCAACTTCTGTTTTGCAATATTTCACATTTATTTCAGCTGTTTTCATTTCTGCTTTTTCAGCAAATCTATTGAAATTCCTTTCAGCTTCTCCCATTTCTGTATTTTCAACTATTTCAAATTAATTTCAGCTTTTCTAATATCTTTTATTTCAGCAAATGTATTCAAATTCCCTTCAACTTTCTGTATTTTCAGCTATTTTTAAATATTCAGCAAATGTACTCAAATTCCCTTCAACTTTCTGTATTTTCAGCTATTTTTAAATATTCAGCAAATGTATTCAAATTCCCTTCAACTTTCTGTATTTTCAGCTATTTTTAAATATTCAGTGCAGCTTTCAGCTTTTTGCATTCCAACGCATTTTCAGCAGGAAATGCCTTTTCTAGTTCAACTTCTTCTATTTCTTCCGCGGCACCTTTCAACTCCTTCACACTTTCAGCTATTAAAACCGTTCAAATATTAAAATGTTCAGCTCCTTTCTGGCTTGAGGGCTATGACTTTTCAGCTTTCTACCTCTTATGCTTGAATTTATATAAATCAATAATCATTAATATTTTAACATGGTTTTCAAATGGAGTTTGCTTTCAAATCCTCCTAAACTTCTTCAACTTTCGGATTTTTCAGCTTCGCGAATCTTTCAGCTACAGACGCCATTTCAACTCTCAAATGTTCACACAAGTCTCAACTATTTTATGAAAAAAACTGCTTCTTGATATCTATTGTACTTTTTTCATAATCACTGATTATGTTTCACTAGTTTTTCGCTCCGTTTCTGACTTTTACATGAGTGTGTATTGCGTCTGCTAGAGTGGAGAGCTCGCGGGCTAGAGGCTGAAGCAGCGCAGAAATCTGGTTAAAAAAGTATGGAACTTTTGTCCTTGCAGCCAAAGTATACACTCTAGAGGCTTCATTTCTTCAGATTAATGAGGGTATGGTTGTGCTGATTGGATTAATGTGTTCATGGAATCCCAGAGTTTTTTAGTTTTGGCGCAAGGAGTGTTTGAGTGACACAACCTCTGCCAAAAGCCCCATAGGCTCCAATACAAATCTGCCGACATATTTCTCACAAAAATCCACAAGGTACACGTTTTGTAAACGGCCATAGGAGCCGTATTTATTACCGGACAGACATAAAAAGCACATCCACGCGTTCGGTAGAGTCTTGGGTCTCATACAAACGCCGTATTTTTTAGATAGCTGTTATAGTTTTGCGCTGGTTCCCATTTGTTTGAGGTGTGGATTCTGTGTAACTTGCTGCCATGTCTCTGCATTTTGCAGCGACACGTAGTAATGCACAGGTGCGGCGTTGTCGTGGTTACGAGCACTCACATGCTGCAGGATCTGTCTGTGACTCAGCTGCTCCTATGACGTGATTAGTGGAGTCACATGACGCAGCTATGCTTTCTGTCAACAGACCAATATGATAAAGACACTCGCCCCCCCTCCCCCCTCCACCCTGACCTCTTCTCACTGTTAATCAGCCAGTCTGTCTGTCTATTTCTCCTCCTCTCTCTCTCCCTCTCATTCTCCCCCCCCCACTCTTTCTCCCTTCCTCCTCCTCTCGTTCCATTCCTCCCCCTCTCCCTTCCTCACTTTCTCTCCCTTTCTCGCTCTTCCTCCCTCCCTCTTTTTCACCTTTGCTCTCTCTACCTTCCCCAATGCCAACATTTCAAAATATAACCCCAGTAATTCTTACTGTAATGTTTTTGATGAGGCCTATTGATTGATAACGTCATAGTTTGAAGGACACATAATATAAAATGTATAAATATTATACTGAATTACCTGTGAGGGTGACAGAAATAAGATGTCAGTGTTATTTACTGCTTTTTTAGTGCTGGAATAAATTATACCCAACTGCAAGGTACTAATGCTTTTGATTCCCCTTATTGTTTTTATTAACTAATACTTGAATGTTTGCTGAAATTTATTGGATGGTCCTATAGGAAGTGTTCCACCAGCCATCATTGCTAAAGGGATAAGAAACCTCTACTGAAAATAAGTCACAAGCAGCATTCAAAATGAACAGTGACGGACAACATTGCTACGGTTGAATATTTATTGCAACAAATAACAATTATAAACAAGCGTAAAAAACAATTGAACATAAGTAACAAGTCAAAACAAAATGAACACATAACTAATACATTATGAACACAATCTTATAAACATATACATTTTATAACAGTAGAAATTTTAATTTTTTGCCACTTCAATCGCCTGCACCTTGTTTCCTGTCATTTTAATTTGAACTTTTATCACGGGTTCAATCATGGCAAGTTCGATTGGCTCCCACAATCTCTCCTCAATTAAGACGGTACGGCCGTCTTCTAAGAGAAGGTTGAGGTTCCCCGGATCTCCCTCAATCTCCATCACCCCGAGTGCCCCCACGATGTCCTCTGAGCGTACCTCCTTTTGAGAGAAAAGTAGACATTATCCTGCTGTCAGCCGCAATCCAGAGCAATCATTATCGTTTTTAAGCAGGAAAATAAAATAACCCCAGCACGGAGGCATTGCATTATAATTTATTCAACTTTTTTTTTAAATAGCCACTTCAAATTTAACATAACATCACCCAATCAAACTTTGCTGTTGAAGCCAGATAGTGTAAAGATTGTCTAAAAAGTGAATGTTTGTTTTAATTTCATAAAAAAACAAGTAGGCCTACCTCGATGGTGGAAAAGTTTGTGGACTGGAGTCTGAGCCCATAGTTAGACCTCCCAGCTTTAAGATGGGAAACTTTAATGTGGGCCCCCACCTGCAGCTGCCATATGGCCGCCTCCCTCCAGAAACACAGCGACATCTGTGATTCCCCCTGTAGAAGGTAATGTGAAATAATATTTTAATTACTTTAATTCTCTCTTTCTCTCTCTCTGTCTCTATATATAGATTATATACATATATATATGTGTCTGAGGACTCGTATAAAGGCAAATCACTGTCAAAATAAATCTATATGAAACATTCGCGGGCAAAAGTCCATCTCGTGCAGCAAAAGTTGGCGTATGTTTCATGTGTGCGCGAGCATGGATTTTTGCCCGCAAATGTTTGATATGGATTTGGATTTATGACAGTTATTTGCCTTCATACGATATATGTAGCGTAATTACTCAGCTATCTAAATTAATAAATGTATTCTATTATATACATGTATGTATGAATGAAGTGGACTGCCTACCTGCTGCATCGTGACGTTGCGCAATGGAACGACGTCTCTCCCTGTCGTGACTTCTTTTAAAGCTGACAGCTGAACAAAATGGATGTTTCAGTTAATTGACATTTTATACCAATTTGCAGCAAATATTAAACCTGTTTCCTTTTTAAACCACCGTAGGCTGAAACTTAATTTACCTCGACCACCTCGCCCTCCACGGTTATCAGGCCCCTGGCTTCCCGGCAGGTGCTCAGCGGAGTCAGTGGAGAGGGGGGGTGTATTAGAAGCTCTGCTTCCCGTTTGAGCGCTGCACTGAGCGCTATAGGAGCGCTCCTAAAGAACAGCGTGTCCTTAGTTATATTTAATTGATATGGGGGGGACTGCCCTCTCAGAGACAGCCCCTTCACATTATAACTGCCACCCTCCTTAAATCTTTTTCCAAACTCCTCGAATACAGTGACCTTGGCCACTGAATCCCCATCTGTTAATGCGGCCAGAATATTCATTTTTGTCTGTGCTGGTCTCGCACCATTTGCGTCAAACTCCCAGGCCACCACCCTGGGCTGCTCCACCACCAACACCACACATAGGTGGATTGGCGGGGGGCGAAAATAGGGCGTTGGAGGCTTTGTTGTCAAAAGCGTCTTTAAGGCCATTCTGAAATGTAAAAATAAACACAAAGCATTAGGAAAAAGCTATGTAGTAGGTTAGTACACATTATTTTCTAAAACGTTTCTTTTATTTCATATTGTGTTGCTTCATTAGTATATGGTTATCGCAAACGTATAAGGTTAATATATTGTATTAAAGAGAGCATTACGTTTGCCTAAAACGCTAAACTGCATTAAAAAATTGATGACCACTATTTGGAAATCGCTTTTGCTAACCAAGATACTCTATCTAACCGCTAGCTTAAACATTTTAAACAACTCTAGTCACTTAATTGTTTCTTTTGTTAAAAAGGGTTATACTTATAGGGTTATACAATATAAATACTCAATTAATGTCAGTTATTCTTCATATTCTTCATTTTCTTATTTCATTTAGAGAGGAACAAACTTACTTCTCTGTCAGCTTTCACAGGACTGAGGCAAATCACCGACTTTTGCTTGCGCGAGACGGACTTTTGCCCGCGAAATTTTTATATGGATTTTTGACAGTGATTTTGACAGTGATGAGTTCAAAAGCGCTCCAATGATGTCGGAAATAATGGCTGATGACGTAAGTGTTTGCCTGATACACCACGTAGGAGCTTAATGTTGCTATTTCCAAAACTAGATTTAGCAAGGTAATAGTGTCACGAATTAGTCTCGTATTATGTACTAAAAAATCATTAGTGAATTCATATTATGCCTTAGGAAAACATTACTTATTCAACTTTTCACATTTCAAGAATTAACCACATGTATTGACCATATCTTGCTGATGATACGAATGCTCTTAAAGGACAACTATAGATTTAATAAAATGCATTATGACAGCTGAGGAATTAAGCTTTGAGGTTTGTTTGGTACAGTTTCTATCGAACCCGGAATTTTGAGAGCGTAATGTCCGAATGTTCCTGAATGCATCAATCAAATCTAACGTCACATCAACGCATCTCCGTCAAATTCCTCTGAAGTCTTGACCGGTAAGTACCGCTGAGCCGCGGGTCTAAGGGCTCATAGTTTGGATGGTGTAATGACAGTTATATAGTTGTGAAATGGCGTTGTCGTCCGTTTGTAACCTGTGCAGTATGTGTACACTAATGAAAGAGTGAAATATTCCCTGTGTATGACAACGCCAAAACGTAGCTAACAATAGCATAGCCGCTAAGCTAGCGGCACATTAGTATGACAAATATGTAACGGTATTAAGTTATGTGCTGAACTGGCATAAACTGGTTAGTTGGGTAACTAACTTGGTTAGTTAACTAACGTTTCAGTTAATATGGATACAGCCTGACGTTTAACGTTAAGTCACGGGTTCATTTGTGTGCCGTATGAGGGAAATATTTCGTCTATTAGTGTCATAGTTCATTATAAGGAAGGAAGCGATTTAAATTCATTCGTAACGTTTATTAAGCAATAAGGTACACGAGGCTGTACATAAAGTACTGCCTCGAGTACCTCATTGCTGATACTAACGGTCGGTCAAACCGTTACTCTTAGTGCGCAGTGATATGGAACAAGAACTGTACATCGCTCAATGATGTGCACCACGTGACTCACTGTCAACCAATCAGAGCGCTGCATTTCATCTACAGTATTATAACACGAGATAATGCTGACTTTAAGTATGTTCATTGACAAATTGGTTAAAATTGCAAGGGTTTTGTCAGTTTGTGTTGACTAGTTTGTTGGCGTTAGCTACTAGTTAGCTGGTTAGCGTTACTTTACTCGCTGCCAAATTAGTCAGCCAGCTGATGAAATTGCCACGTCAGCCTATTTTTAGCATTAGGCCTACGTAGAAGTTAGCATGTGGTAACCACGGGAATATTTCACTCCTCCATTCATGTCTGAATTCTGGATAAGTTACAAATCCAATGTCAATACCATTTAATGTAGTTTGTCTTTTGAGAAACATAAATAACTAACGTTAATGTTAATTAACTATGTTGGTAATATGGAACAGCCGTAATCTACTTCTCTCTGTATGTAATAATTTCCTATGGTGTTTTGTTTAAAGGCTGAAAGTTTGAACCTTCTTAATGTCAGTTTGTCATATTGTTTCCTCTCTTAGACAACAGAGCATCCTCCTTATCTGCATTGTGTTTGGTAAGTTACAGAAATAGCTAACACTACGACACAACTATACTGCATACGTATATGACATACGTAGATCTTTTCAATTTATTAAAAAGAACATTTACATTGTATTTTGTGGATGGTTGCCACATATCATTTTTGAAATTGTTGATGTATTTTTTGTTTGGGTTTCTTTATCAGTTGAATAGTTAATACTTGAAATGGGAAACGTTTTTAATAGTCTATATTGCAAGATAATGTCCTCAAATGTCTTTGTTTATTTTTATTGAGGAATTAAGCGATTAAAAGATATTACGTTTGAGAGCCATTTTAATTATTAAAGTCCCCGAGAGGCATTAACACATATTGAAATAATATATTCAATATGTATGTTCATTATTTGTTGTCTTGTTGACATCAGTCAGTATTGCCACAAATCTGCCACACTGCAAATAATATTTATATTCTTTATATTACTTTTGTGAAAATTGTGATTTTTCAATGAGACAAAAATGATTAATAAGGAAATACATTGAAAGTACATTTTAAATAAACTGAACTGAAAATGTCTCCTTTTCTCTCCCTCTCTTCATCCGTCACCCTCCTCCTCCTCCTGCCGACTCGCCTTTTCTATTTTGGACGGCAGACCATAACGGCTGGTGACTCTAAAGTGCAAGTTCACACATCAATTCAGATATTGCTGTAAGTAAAATCCAGCCCTCCGCGACCCTGTGTGCAGGATAAGCGGTTTGACAATGAATGTATGGATGGTTTAGAGTTTAGTATGCCTTCTCATCATAATAATCTGTCTCGAAACCCTCATTGAGTTCTCTTTCCTTCTGCCTCCTCTTCCCTGTCTAACTGCAGCCTGCCAGTGTTGGTGACTCCTTGGATATTTGACAGTAAGTTCTCACATATGATTGCCAACTGGATGCACTTTCTTAAAACATTTAGTTGTAATGAATCACTGATGGCCGAGCTGCATTGCCTGTGTGAGCAGCATGCGTGTGTTGCTCAACCTCTTGGTTTTATTTTTGGCACGTATGTTAGCAGCTTTGTGTCAGCTGTGTCTTCTTTGAGGGCTGTTGTTGCTCTGGTGCTCTCTGCCCCGCTGCTGCGAGCGCCACACGGACATATTCGCAACATAGCAATGAGTGTGGGACTGCTGTGCGTAGAAAAATAAATAAATAATAATATATATACATTTTTAAATGGCACACTTTTTCAGGGGAGGGTGGAGTTATTTCAGGGGGGAGGCGCGCCCCCCTCTTATAATGGTAGGGGAAACACTGTATTGTGTTACGGGTTCTGCTTGGTTCACAGAGCGTAAAAAAATATTCTCAGGGCTTTACAATGCGTGCACTTACAGCATCACGGGAGCCCCACATCGGCTCAGGAATCATTGTTGACAGTTCTTGATGTACAACCAACAGCTTTAGCCTTCTACAGTTTTGATGTCCCTCTGTCAACATTTTCCAGGAGAATAGTCTATAATTAATCAATCAACACTCAATAAGTGCCTGCCAGCATATATATATGTTACGGTTAGATGACACCTTCAATGATCCAGTGGTGGTAGAAGATTGTCTAACGGATGTTTTTCTTGTGTCTTGCAGGTGTCCTGCTGTCCAGCATCTCTCCTCCTCTATCCCATTGGCTCTCTGTCTATCCTATACCTTGTATCCACTCTGTCTACAATTTGATAACTCTAGCTTTCCTGTCAAATCTACCGCTCTGTCTGATTTTGTAAACTCTATCTTTGTATCCCTCTTCTATCCCACTCTATCTGTATACATAAGCCTGAAAACCCTGATATTCTGAAACCTGAACCCTGAACCCTGAAACCTGAACCTAAGGTTATTGCAACCTGTCTGAACAGAACTCTGAGAGTATCTCCACTCTCCCGCTCTCTGTCTCTCCTCTGAACACTCACTCACCCGGGTTATTGGTACCTGATCTACCTTTTTGAATGATCTGAGAGATTCTCTTCTCTCACTCTCACCTCTCTCCTATCAACTCCTATATTTATACAATACTATTACTATTACTGTTACTAATTTGACAAAACATTTGAAATTGACTATTAATGAGATTAACAAAATTGGCCTGAACAAAGAATTGAAAAGTTAATTCAGAAGCTGAAAAAAACATAAAGTACAAATCTTTTTGTTATAATTGAAAAAACTACACCTTGATCCAAAGAATTGTATTGTAAAAAAGTACTCTTTATAATTGAATCAGGTAGATTTCCTAATACACTATTTGCAAAAGTGCATTGAATTAACATAATTAAAGACAACTGCACTGTGATATATAATAAAATACATAACTATTACAAATCCATATTAGAGAAGTGTATTTGCTCCTGATCGCTGTTGCTGTGCACCTGTTGGTTTGTACTCAAAGGTTTGTTTTGTGAGCAAACACTGTTGTTAACTTGATTAGTCTACGTACAAGGAAAAATAATCCCGCTACATGCATTGAATCAATTATACCTAATTAATGAATACATAATGTTTTCTTATAAACTTACATTGTGCATATCAGTGTTTTGTTGTTTATACTGAAATAAAACACAGACGTCAACCAGGAGGAAGTGGATTCATCAGGAGTGGCTGTTTCCTGCTGATCCAACGTTCTTCAGAAGCATCCATCTGTCATCACACTCCCACAACAACTGCTCCCGAATATAAACAATAGCCTAATAAAGTATTAAGATAATTTCTACCAGTAAATTTAGCCATTTGAAATCTGAAGGGCCCTTTCAGTCAACTGGTTCCAAGTTGTGTGTTTGTGGTAGACTTCAGTTTTTACATTGATTATATATTTCCTCAGATAAGTCAAGGTCTCAGTAAGTAATATCTATTACATATTAAATACCATCGGTCACTTTAGTACATGGTACTTCATTTACACAGACAGACATACTAAGACCTGATTGCAGTATTCAAATCTAGAAGTGCTTTGTCTAGACCCTCATATATTAGAATACGTCAGCTGGATAATTTCATTGTGTTTTTTATATTAAAACTATAAAATAATCCTTCAGGTTGCTGTCACTGAATTTGACGTTCAAATATAATATATTTATCTATATTGAAAAGTGTTATTTATTCATGTTTTGAAAAGCGTAAGCCCAAACCGAGTTAATTTTTCATTCATAAGTGTTTTTGATTTATAGCAGCAAGCAGGTTTAATCCATCTTCAAATCCTTGTTCGTTAAAAGTAATATTTTACTTATTGCATTTAATATCTTGGTTTTGTACAACATTTGTGGTTTTGAAACATCAACAATGCCAAGGAAGAGTAAGAGGTCACAAGCTCAGAGCCTCCGCTGGCAGCGGCCCAATGAGAATCCCTTTGCAACAACGACTGAAGGAGCAGAATGTGTTGGTCCTGAGAGCAGTGAAGAGGTAAAGATGTCTGCAGAGTGTAAACGAGTGGAGCAGGAAGGTCAGCCTGATGCTTCATGTGCATCACCACCATCTTATGCAGATGCTGTAAAGAGAGGACAGCACAGTGATGATCCATGTGTAGCAGGACCTTCTAATGTGGACCAGGTGAACCAGAGATGTCAGCCTGATGCTTCATGCATACCACAGGTTTCAGATACTATAAAGAGAGGACAAGCCAGTAAAGAACCATGTGCAGCAGGACCTTCTAATGCAGACCGTGTAGACCCTGGAGATCAGCCTTCTGAACAACATGTCCGTGCATCCCACAGCCAGGCTTCTATCAGATACGGCAGATCCAGAAATCGGCAGTGCACCTGTAACTCACTGACCTTTCTTGCATTCCTCCATGAGAATGAAAGCATCACCAGAGCAGACCTGGACCATGTTTTGGATAAAGGTAACACGATGTATAGAGAGACCAGGAAACAAGTCACTAATCACATCTATCTGACCACCGACGAGCTCACTGATGAAGTTCCTGCACGCAGCGCTACACACCATGCAGACATGACTCAGCTTTCAAGGTACGGCACATTAGGAGAACCTTTACCTGGAGCTGTGGACAGCTTTCTGGACCTGGAGTCAGGACTCAGCTGCTTGTTGTCAGATGTGAAGTACGCTCTGCTGTTGATGAGACTCTTGTGTATCGCAGTGTTCAGAACCAAGTCGGGCAGGTACGGTTTCTTTGACCCACACTCCAGAACAGCCAGAGGTTTGCCCCTACCAGCCGGTTCACGCACACCAGGTACTGCTGTCATGGTGACATTCTCACGTCTCAGTGACATGATTGACAGACTCAAGAAGTCCCACAGAATGATGGACACACAGTCCTCCTGTAACTATGAGTTGAAGCCTGTGGAGTTCTACAACATGAACACAGTCAACCTGAACGGTGGTCTCCCAAACACAGACTGCAGACCTACAGCTGTCCCTGTGGATGAATCAAACTCACCTACAGCCACTGATCAGACCAGTTCACCTGAAACGACTCCTCACACTCCAGCTGTAAATCAACCAGAGGTCCTCATCACAACATCATCACATGATGCTCCTCACAATGAATCAGGATCAACCGCTCAAGTGATAAACCCTGTTCTCAGTGATCCATCTGACGACATATTGACAGCAGAGTCCAGTGACATCATCTTTACATCATCGGTGAGACAAGAGGTCATAAAATCCAATGAACCAGAACTGTCAACTAAATCCACTTTCCTCCCATCACATGATGCTTCTCTCAATGAACCAAGTATTTCTTCCTCAGTAGAAAATACTGTTGCCAGTGATCTGTCTGATGTTCTATTACAGGGAATCTCATGCAATCTGACAAAGTGTGATAAAAACAAAAGGAGAAAAATAAAGAGAAGACTGATGATCTCAGTGAAAACTCTACAAAGAAAAGAGATTAAGAAAAGGAAGGAAAGGGAAAAGTATGCTTCAAATAAAGCATATAAAGCAGACAAGATATCTCATGCAAAAAGCCAATATCAGAACAACCCTGAATTTAGACAAAAGAAAATAAATAACACAAGAGACAACGTTGACTTGAAGCAAAAACGGAAAGAGTACATTTCCTCCCGGTACAGAGAAAATGCTGATTATAGACAGAAAAAAAAACAAATATTTGTCTCTCGTTACAGAAATAATCCTCAATTTAGAGAGAAACGAAAACAAATCTTGGTCTCTCGTTACAGAAATGATCCTCAATTTAGAGAGAAACAAAAAGAAATCTTGGTCTCTCGTTACAGAAATAATCCTGAATTTAGAGAGAAACAAAAAGAAATCTTGGTCTCTCGTTACAGAAACAATCCAGAATTTAGAGAGAAACAAAAACAGCACTTTACGGACCGCTACCGAGACAACGCTGAGTTTAGAAAGGAAAAAAAACTGTACTTCACTGCTTTTTATAAAAACAGCATTGATTTTAGACAAAAGAAGAGAGAGAAAGAGAGATCTCACATTATTCAGCGATACGCTCATGACCAGGCATTCAGGCTCAGACACAAACAACTAATGAAACAACGAATGAAAGACAGATATAAAAACAATCCTACATACAAGAGTATGCGGAACATGAGATGTGCCATGAAAATAAAAAGGAAATACAGAGGGATAAATAACCCAACAGAAGAAAGTGACAACAGTTTGATCAAAGAGGCCATATCTGTTTTCAGGTCACAAATAAAGTCCGGTCCCACTTATGTTTGCACCGTCTGTCACAAAGCATCATTTCCAAACCAAGTGAAACCCTGTAAAAGGTTAAACTATGTACGGAATCCAGACGTGGTTGCAGCATGCCTGACAGGAAAGTACGTCCATGTGTGTGATGACCAGTGCAGAGATGAACAACAGTGTAATGTGCCTGATGAGAGAAAGGAAGAGTGGATCTGTCACACCTGCCACAATCATCTTAAAGATGGAGTCATGCCGACACTCGCTGTAGCCAACAACTTGGAGCTCGCTGACATTCCACCTGAACTGTGTGACCTCAACATATTGGAGAGACATCTCATAGCCAAGTGCATAGCGTTTGCAAAGATCGTTCCTCTTCCCAAAGGACGCCAGAGAGCGATACATGGCAACGTGGTTTGTGTCCCGTCTGAGGTGCAGGAAACAGTGGAAGCGTTACCCAGACTGAGAAGTGAGTCTCAAGTGATGAGAGTAAAGCTGAAGAGACGATTGTGTTACAGAGGACATCAGCTGTTCCAGACTGTCACCTGGTCTAAACTAGTGCAGGCGCTGCATAAACTCAAACGCATTCATCCACAATATCAGGACATCACTATCAGAGATGAGGCCGAGCTTTGTGACCCAACACTTCCTGATGAAGATGAGGATGATGATGAGGATGCCACTATGGATGACAACGACTATGATGATGCTGATTTAAAGGAAATTGACATGTGTGAGAAAAGTGCACTGTGTGAGACAGAAACTGAGCTTGATGGAGAGCAGGATGTTGACATGTTGTCTTGTGATGGTGAACAACCAGAGCAGCAAAGAGATGATGAAGAACAGGAAGGTGAAATGCCCAACGGTGGTTTTGCTTTAGAATCATGTCTTCAGCCGTGTGATGTTTCAGAGGAGATCTTATGTTTCAGTGAAGGAATCTACTCGGTTGCCCCTGCAGAAAGTAACAGTCCAGTTGGTTTCTTCAAAACTCCTAAACTTGAGGCGATGGCTTTCCCTGTGCAGTTCCCTACAGGCCAAAACACACTGGATGAAGGGAGACGTATGAAAGTAACACCCAGCAGTTATTTCAAAGCGAGGCTTTTCTGTGTTGATGATCGTTTTGCCAGAGATACAAACTACTTGTTCTTTGCTCAGTTTGTGACTGAAATACACTTGGCCACATCCAGCATGACGATACAGTTGAGGAAAGGAAAGCCAATGACTCGAGATGGACGAAAAATAACGTCTGGTATGCTGCAAAACAAACGAGAGGTAGAGAAACTGGTGAGGAACAAAGATGCAGTCAGATTCATGCAGCCGCTGAGAGGAACACCAGCCTACTGGGAGAAAACCACACGAGACCTTTTTGCCATGATCAGACAGTTGGGAACTCCCACATTCTTTTGTACATTTTCTGCAGCTGAGATGCGTTGGCCTGAAGTGATTGAGGCAATAAAAAGACAGCAAGGTGAGGAGGTGAACTTCGAAGGGCTCGACTGGTCAGCAAAGTGTGACATTCTGAGAAGCAACCCTGTAACAACAATGCGCATGTTTGATAAGCGTGTTGAGGCCTTATTCAGAGATGTGCTCTTATCTCCTGCACAGCCTCTTGGCAAAGTCGTTGACTACTTTTACCGAGTTGAGTTTCAGCACAGAGGAAGTCCACACATTCACTGTCTCATATGGGTAGAAGGTGCACCTGTGTTTGAGGAGGATGATGATAAGACTGTTTCGGATTTTGTGTCTAAATACATCACAGCTCAGCTACCTGACCAACTCACACAACCTGAACTGTACAAGAAGGTCACAGAGGTGCAAATACACAGCAAAAAACACTCACGGACGTGTTTCAGAAGTCCCAGCTCTGGTTGCAGATTTGGTTTTCCTAAACCACCTTCCAGAAAGACAATGATATCGAGACCTGGTGAGGGCGTTGCTCCACTGCAACTGCAAATAGCAAAGTCCAAGCTCCAACCACTGAACCTGTTGCTGAATGAACCTGAAACTGCCTCACTCGGTTTGCAGCAGCTCCTCGTTAAATGCAACTTAACACTCCAAGAGTATGAAGGATGCCTCAATATCATCAACAAATCCAGTGCGGTGATCCTGAAACGTGAGCCAAAGGACTGCTGGGTAAATGGATATAATGCACATCTACTGGAAGCTTGGGATGCCAATATTGATGTCAGTTATATTCTCAATGCATATTCGTGCATCATGTATCTCACCAGCTACATCACCAAAAAGGAATCTGGACTTTCTGAGTACCTTAAAACAGTCATTGAAAACTCCACCAAAGACCACGTCAATGAATGTGATGAAATGAGGGAAATCATGCAGGCGTACTCTAAAAAGAGAGAGGTCAGTGCTCAGGAGTGTGTGACTCGTGCATGTGGAATTAACATGAAGAAGTGTT